CCTACGTTAGCAGAACGGATAGGCAGTTGCATATACGGATCTAGGATCACATCCCATGCTGGTTAGGTGCCGATTGGCCGAATCACATGATCGAAGGTCATTCTCCAATTCGACGCCTCAAACCCACACGTACGCATCACCCACCACTAACACACTCAATAGCATAGCACTAGTACCAACCCCCACCCTTACCGAAGGACACCGAACACACAAGCAGCCTGCGTTATTGATGACGAACCATGGTCCGAACCCGACAAACCGATTTAAGATCATTTATGCTAACACCAACCCCCGGCTGCTTAGGTTTGTGGAGTCGGTTGCAATCAGGAAATGGAAACCTGGCCTGTGTGTGCAAAAAGAACTATCAGTTACACTGTCACTGCATTGGCAGTGGTAAACGTGTGGTGATTTGTCCCTTCGTATTCTTGTGTAACCTGATGATGGCGTTGGCACCATGCTTGTTTACAAGCCGGTGTAATATACATGATGTACTGTTCAACGATATAAACTGTAGTTTTCTGCCGTATGGTATCAGTTGAGATGCAGCAAAATCTGCCTTGACATAAATCGTGCAACCTAGCTTTGCTGTGCCCTCTCTTCAAATTTATCCTAGGAAATAAATATTTCGTTGATATGAGTCACAAAATTCACAACATTCATATCAAAGGACAAATGTTCATAGAAACGATGTCAACTATCTGATGAAATTCCAACGTCCCTGAGTGTTTTTCCCTAAAGTACCAATGTGAATTTCGAAGATCGTTTTCGTTTATAATCGTGAGTTTGTATGAAAATCAATTTATTTTCAGGCTTATTGAGGCGAGTTCGGCAGACGAGTTGCACGGAGTAATAATGTCCTTGGTTCCGGAGTTGCAGTCGAAATACGGGGTGCTCTGTTTTCTCTACTCCATTCTCTTCAACTATGGAATAGAATCATTACGACATGGTATGGCCGATGATGCGGACACCTTGATCGATCCAGTCTACGGACATGCTAGTCAGTGTTTGATTAATTTGCTCATCAGTGGACAAGCCACGCCGTATCTGTTTGACGGCGAGCGCAATGTTTCGGGAATCAGTAAGTTGCTTTTCTAATATTTCTTTTGGTGAAAGCCATGTGAATCAGTGTATTTGATTCCGTTTTTGACTTTCAGGTTGTTCAGCTGTGGCAGCTGTGCCTGTCGTAGACTCAAATTTTGGTAATAGCACATTAGGATAATGTATATCCCTGTAGGATGTTGTAAGTCATCATCATTCTTTCTCACTGTGTGACAATCTGTGATTTAATCCGGAACAATGGCATCTGGAAGTTGAACAGGATTCCTGTTTGTGGAAAGCTTATCTGTTTCCGAAACCACGTTATGTTGGAGACACGATACAGCACACAACGAATTCATCATATGAACAAATCAAATTCTCTATTACTCTCATATAACATCAAAATATCCTAGATCAAAGTGATTGTATATTGTTCCTTTTTCTCGTTACTTTTTACATATTTTAAATGTGGTGTGATTTAAGTTCTATCTTTTATCTTTGAGCAGAAGATAACGGAATAATTATTACCATTATGATTATTATTGCACTTTCGTAAGGTGGTTTTACTTGCTGTCTTGAGACTACCCATCCGGACAAAAGAGCGGAAGGAAGAGTGAAATGCTAACAGCCGAGTCACAGACAAGGTAGAGGGATCACAGATATTAAGGTTGCAAAAACAAGGAGTAGATGCAAGGGCATCCCATTTCACTCGGAGTCTCTAACCATTGCTCACAATGATCTTGAGGTCTCCATCCCAGGAGCCTAACGCGACCGATGTAACCGAATCCCGTGTTTAGTTTTTTCATACCCTCATGCCATGTCTTGGTGCGGCGACCCTTGGTTTTTTTGGATCTGCTACTTGTTTCGGCAACCATCGCGCGCCATGGCAACTTCTTGGGTGACATGTGCAACACATTCCAGCTAGCGTAATCTTGCTCCAGGCCGCGATGCTGGAATTCAGACATGCTATCGCAACCTCTCTGTAACTGACCCCCGGGAACACTATCATTTCCCTCCACGACCAAAACATTGTTGTGAGATACTACTCACTTGTGAGTAGTCGGCAACTTTCGGTGATTAAAAATAGAACAAGACCATCAAGGACCAAGTAATATATTTGGGAAGAATAAACACTGCCTGCTCTACCCATTGCTCTATGTGTCGCGATGTGTTGCGATGGTATGTTTCTGATAAGGTTTTCGTGTTATGCATGCAAAATTAGTGACCTTCAATCCGTATTCTACAATGGACAACTCTCGTCGACCAGCACCGCCATTTCAGAATATAACAACTGGTGCCGTCGCCAGGATCAGGATGAAGGTTTCGTGGCCAGCAGCCTTCG